ACTCAGGTGATCTTCAGAGTTAGCTCTGAAGTAGAACAATCATAAATTATTGATCGATAAACTACGAAGATATGGAAAAGTGGAATTTCGGCGGGAAAATGATAACATTCAAAGTAATTTTCCCCAAAATTATTGATGCTAATCATGGTTAGGTTCCATGTAGCTCAGGGGTAGGAGTTTTGATCCCTTCCGAAACCGATGGTTTGCAGTTCGAGTCCCGACGGAATCAAAAGTTGTGCATTACTAACGAGTTCCAAGAAGGACGGAACAGCTATCTAGTGCTCTTTTTCGTCAGTCACACAACAATTCCATCGCATATAACTTCATTCTGACGGGGTATGGGGGGGGGGGGGNGGGGCATGAATGATCTCCCAAAGGGTAGAACCCACAACCACAACATAAGACCGTACTCAATGCTCATGCCTGTAAGACTCAATTGGTCTAATGGAAACAAAATTTTGAGAAATAGTCTTTTCCACAAGTAACATAACTGATGTTATTCACTTCGGGATATTCTCTAATGTTGAGTGCAATGATTGGGAATTCTAATCCTAACCGGTCGACTCCCCTTTACTTATCTTTTAAGTATTCAACCTGTTCACTTCAGTCGCTTATCGGAAAAGATGAACTATAAGTTTCGTCCCTGATCTTCTGTTTTGTCGATAACCAACCTGTTTTTGAGGGAGCTACTCTGGGTTTTGATATTTTACAAATCACAATTTTGTCTGCAATCCATATTGAATCCCACTTAGTGGCTTTTCATCCAACTACTACCCCTCTTTCACCTACAGTGAACTGCTGGCCCAACGAAATCCGAGGTGGTTTCGAAGTGAACATCGAGTATGAATTGCAAAACACGGACATTGAATTACACGATGTCGTGGTCAATATTCCTCTCCCGTAAGTTGGCACTATCATATGTTTAGCCAGTCACTGTCTCGGTTTTCGTGAGGGGAGTGCTGATTTGTTTTCAGTGTTCAGCTCGTGCAGCTATGGGTCTAGTATGACGGGCAGTGTCGATTTCAGTTACCTTGCACACCATGTCAACACGTCAGCAGCAGCGTATTACAGTGAAGCGAACTTCACTGATCACTGCGAAACTCATAATGCATACAAGCAAGGTAAGTGAGAATGTTTAAGGAAAATGGGGATTTGGCCTAGTTTTAGGGTTGGGAAAAGAAAGCGAACCTCTATGGTTAATACACAGAGTACATAGTCCAACTGTGAATACATACGTTTTCAAGCATTCTGGTTTGATAAGAAGTGACCGCAAGATTGCCACTACTGTTTCTCTTGCTGCCATGACCTTCAGTGTCTCCAACCATGCGGTTTCGGAGTCTTTCGGACCCCAACCCGGAGTGCAAGAGACACCTACTCTACCTAATCGTTCTGTGCATTTCTTCATACCTCGTCTCCATGTCATCTGCTGTCATCCATCAAGGCATTTTGATCTTATCCATGTGCTTGCCAGACCAGACATGAATGTCAAACTGTGGGTCATGTTAGAATTGCATTCAAATTAAATTGATATACACTTTTTAATCAGTTCAGTTGTTACAACCATTAACCATGCACTTTCGTGCGCCGGTTTTGGTTGCTGTCTTTTGGTTGCCCATTTG